AATCATGAAAAACAATTGTGTTGTCAGTTACCATAGCAAATAATGTCTAGGTACATGTTGTGATTAATGAATCTATAGAAAGTAATAGGTGAAGGTAGAAATAGGAGTTAAGATTTAGAATTATGTTTTAAAGTTAACGTGACATTTTTAGAGCAATGAGGCTTGGTTACAGAAATCAGATACTGTCTAACCATGTAAAGGGGGACAAGAAATATTTTGATATTCTTGATGTTCTATATTGAAATGATTATTATGTATGCTTTAGACCACTAATTTGAAAAGAATGATTAATAGATTAATGGTACAGAGCAGTATAAAAGCTGTTTGGGAAGTTTCATCTAAATTGCACTGGGTGCAACCTCACCTCATGGGTTGACGCCATAGCGCCTAACATGACTTTTGCAATCCTAAAAAGACCAACCTATGTGTTGCTGCCAGTAAACATCTCCCAAGAGTGGTATGGTGATGTCGGCTTGCAGCTTGTCAATGAGTTTAACACGTCGCTTTCTAGATCAAAGCGAGGACTTGGACTTACAGTAATGGGTGTAGTGTCTTTCATCACCTTGCTTGTTTCCCTCACCGCCACCACAGTTGCACTTACTCAAGAGATTCAGACTGCAGCTATTGTCAACGAGCTGATGGACAATGTTACCTACAACTGGGACCGGCAAGAAAAGATTGATCTAGCCATTGAACATCACTTGAATGGACTGTATGACACTGTTAACTTAATTGGGAATACTTTGGAGCAGGTCATGATTTGGCAACGCCTTGTGTGCCATGCTGATTATCGCTCCATTTGTGTGACTAAGCATGTGTGTAATGCCTCAGTCTTTCCTTGGCCCACAGTACAGGCTCACCTGCATGGAGTATGGATCGCTGAAAATGTCAGCCAAAATTGGAATGAGTTACATGCACAAATAATTGCTATGCATTATGCTCCCCACCTTGACAGCAAACCTGCTGAACTAGCTAAACAATTTCTATGCAACCTTAAAAATTTGTTCCCTACTATACACTCCCTCTCTCAATTGTGGGGTCCCATTCTAGCTATCGGCATATTTGTCATCTTTGTTTGCTTCCTCCTCCCCTGCCTTCTTCGAAAGGCAATTAACCAGTATAAAGAACTGTGGAGTTGTCTGCATGGTCTCCAGTTAAAGACACTCCATCGACACATGTAGGACGTGTAGCCAAAGACGGGTAAGGACCAGTGGAATCTCAGTCAACCTAAGACAGAGCGATTGCCTTATGCTGAAATGGGTATCTATGACGGGTAAGATTGAGGATTCGCACTGTCCACCTAAGACAGGCAATGTCCCTTAAATAAATAAAAAAGGGAGAGATGTAGAGCGCCATCAAGATTATAACCTAAATGCCACCTTGTGACTAGAACTGGGATAGGTTTTCTTTGATTAATAATAAATTGTCTCTGGGAAAAGGGAACTTAATTGTGCCAAGACCGCGTGATTCAGTGTTGCTATAACAATACTTACACTTATGTAATCATATCCTGGTTGGTATCCTGGTTGGTAATCATGTCCTTGTTACTACAGAAAACATTGTAACTAGGTAGAATAACAATGACCTAATGCAAAAAATCCTATATAAACCATGTTGCTACAATAAACTTTGTCACTGGTCATCAGCCTGTGGCCCTTGCCTGATTTCAATCCTCGCCTCTTCTTCGAGTAACCCAAGCAGTAGTCTGAGCTAGTCTCAGACCCCCACACAGAAATTTCTCCATCAATCTTATAATTCTATCAATCAATCAAAAAATCATTTACATACTTCTAAGTGTAGCAACAGTCTCCTGCCTGTTTTCCCCTCCATAGTTCCCCACCCTGCTGACGCTTACTGTTTTATTTCTTGACCTCAGTCAAATGTTCTCGCTAGCACATCTTTATACCACTGTCTCCCTTTAAGCATTATCCTTCCTTTTATGATAGTACTCTCCAATTTTAACACACTGTCTTCTTTCTGTACAGAAGATTTTCAGCAGAAACTGGAAACTTATTAGATATATAGTCCCCAGCTGACAATTCTGTTCTGATGACCTTTTAGTAAGTTGGCTTTGACAGAAGTTGAACACCCTTCCCCCTGCCAACACTTTTCATTATTGGTGCCTCTTATTATCAAAATCTTTTATAAATTCAATCTTTACTAGTCGGAAATATTACTTTAATCTTCTGTGAGTGAACACCTGAAAATGATAACATCAGCAAATCATGTACCACAACACTGGATGTAGTGAATATCACTAATGATAAGATGTACAAAATAAATAAAAACAGACAGGTGTTAAGTGTAGTTTGTCATTATGAATATGCAGTAAGCCAGGGACTACCTGTATGATATTTCATTCCTCACACCAGACCTACTGATTCAAATTCAGCATTTTAACCAGATGCTGGGCTCATCCACATTCACACTGAAGTTTTAGAAACACTTGTTGCCCTGTAATCTCTGACTGAAGAAATGACCTTCTACTAGTGGTCGTCCTTTGAGCCTTTGATATCCTTCTACTCACTTCCTGATCGACAACTATCTAAGTCACTTCATAGTCTTTTTTAACTTGCTCATAACACATTCCTACTTCATTTATGTCCAGCTGTCACTTTCAAACTCTATTTGCAGTAAGAGAACTGGAGTGCAGAAACATACAAAAACCCCATGCTGTGTAACGCTTGCCAGTAGCAGTCTATTATTGGTCTTTGAAAAAGCCCACAGTAGCTGACCTGCTTCAAAATGCCCTGCTGTCATCACCCCATTCGGTGCAGCTCACA